TCCTGCCTACTGGTGTGGCCCCAGGTTGCACGTTTTCTGTGCAGAGCACACGGTGCAGAGTGCTTCTAGTTGTCAAGCAACATCTGGAGAGCTAAACCCCATCAGTTAAAACAGATATTTCCCTTGAAACGTGTGCCATATAATTGTGATGACTCTGCAGGCAGCTCCACCTTTTACAAGTGTCCCATCCTGCTGCGGCTGAGCCCGGCAGACCCTGCGTCCGAGCGGCTGGCGGGGTGTTACGGGCCGTGCACTAGGGTCTGCGGATCTCCCTTTCTCACATCAGTGTTTTAGCATTTTCCGTGCTACTTGCTGTTCTCTTTGCTTATGGTTTTTAAAGCCTTTTCATCTGGACAGTGCTATGCCAGCTGTCCAGTCCTCCCGCCAGGATGTGTTGAGTGCTGGTGCATTTCAAGCCCCCCATTGCTTTGCTCCGGGAGCGGTGGCTGGGCTGTGTCCTTGGTGGCTCTACGTTGGTTTTGGTGGCCAAGACCCTCACCTAGATTTTCTCATGTTTTCCGTAACTTCACTACCCAGACACCTTGACTTCCAGTGACATTTCTCAAGCTCTAAGTGCATCTTGAATCCTTTCTTTCCTTCCTCCCTTCCTTTATTTAAAGTCGTTCACTAGTAGTTGTCAACAATTCTGAGTGCTTTACAAGAGCTTGGTGTTCCCTTTGACCTGATCGCTTTTCTTCTGTGCATCTTAAGGTGGTTTTTGTTGCTTAATATTTTAGTCGACCTGGGTGTTAATACTCAGGTCTCCCTGCAGTGCTGGAACTGTAGAATTTTGCCCTGGAAATCAGGACCTGTGCTTGAGAGGAAATCCCTTTGGGAGACAGTGCTGGGATGGGCACCTCCAGGTCTCTGGTGACACAAGGTCAGGCTGGAGCGAGCTGCGGTTTCCAGCTCCCTCTAGAGAGAGCAAGTGAGATGAGTCCCCTTTCGCTTGCCCAGGTGCTCTGCTCTTGCTGCCTCCTGCTTGGAGATGTCTTCCTCTTCTTCACCAGCATTTTGCATCCAGTGAGGTTGTACCTGTGTCTGGGATGTACTTTGGAGCATTGCTTTTCCCATCATGGTAGGTGCTTTGATCTGCCCTCGGCTGACTAGTGACCACGTTGCACCGGTTGCCCTGGGGTAGGGATCTGGCAGAGAGGGGAGGACTTCTCCATCGGTGGCAAGCTAGGGTGGGTCCTACAGCTCAAAACTGATCACACATCTGTCCTGGAGAAAATTTGGCCAAACATTTGTGCTATGATTGCTAGAATTCCCTTGGGAGTCAAGCATTTTGCAGTGATAGAAGGCTCAGCCCGTTCTGCATAAGCGAGGACGCGGATCCCTGCAGGTCCAAGCCAGTGGGACAGAACTGGCCGGTTCTGCTTCCTCCTGCTCCTGTGCTGAAGGAGCACATGAAGAGACCTGCTGATTGTCCGCTGCAGCTGGCTAAGAAAGTGGGGTTTGCAAAATTGATTCCTATGTCTTTTCTCATTATCTGCTGGAGAAACAAAGAGCCATACAGCTTCTCCCACTGCAGCGTTCAACATACTGGGAAAAATGGTGGAGCAGAGGCAGTGGAGAGTCCTGTGTCAAAGTTCTGTTTCCTATGGTGGAGGTTTGCTGGAATTTTCTTCCTAACCCAGAGGAATTTGCTGTATGGTTGCTTTAAGACTATTTTCTTCCTTTCCCGGCTGACTTCTGTTCACACATCATCAGAGTTAGCTGCTGCTGTTCCATCTTCCCATTGGAAAATTGAACATTTTTCTTGTTGTTTCTCGTGGGGGTTTTTTCCTCGGTTCTGTTAAAAGCCTTGCAGAAAATCACAGCCAGTTGTATTTCCACTGTCTGAGCTCTGGAGGGTGTCCGGTGAATCCAGGTATCGTGCTCCTGGCCAAGCACTTGATACCTTGCAGAGGATGCAGTCCCTTCTTCAACTTAATTAACATGGATAATTTTGGCTTCTTACAGCAGCTCACAGATAATTGACTTTTCCCTCAGTCCCCTTCCCACTTTCCAAGAGCTGTTAGCTGCCTGTCACCTGAGCGTCATCTTCGAGTTTATGGGTCGGTCAGATGCCTCTTTTCTGTCTGATGTAGCTTTCCTTGTCATGTTCTTTTCTACCCATGACAGTCGCTCAGATCTTTCACGTCTTCTGTTATAAGGGTTTTTTCTTGCAGTAAGTGTAAAAAGACACCCACAAATAATTTTGTCTATGGACTTCCATGGGTAAGTCTCATCACAAGGCTGGATATGAAAGCTCGGGTGCTTCGCCACACCAGCTGAGACCCCACCACAAGCAGATTGGCAGTTCTCTTCTTCTTTTGATGGACATGCCCCCCTGTCACCCAGCCTCATCTGCCCACCCCACACTTAGGGGTCTCAGAGCTGTAGGACACCCCAGAGAGCCTCCTGGAGCCCTTAGGAGCCACAGCAATCCATCCGTACAGGCACCTCGCATGAGTGAGCTCCTGGTGTACAAATGCGTTGCCACCAAAAGGAGGGGGACGGAGGGGAGAAGAAGAGGAGGAGGAAAGGAAAACCCCCAAAGAGTTACCTACCCCCCAGCACCCACCGTACAGACAGCAAACCAGGCAGATCCACCGCAGTGTTTGCTCCTGGGGTACCATGGGTTAGTGCTTCTGAACCAGAGGGCGTAGGGTGTCCTTCCTCGGTGGAGTTCGGGTGTCCAACAGCAAAGTGTCTGGCTCCTCGGACTGCTCTGGCTTTGTCTCCTGCCTCCTTTCCTTGTCCTCCCTCCCTGAGCATGACCTTTCTTTTTGTTTCCTTGCAGGTACCTGAAGAAAATATAAACGGTGTGGTCAATGCACTCCAAGTCAGTCAAGCTGAAAAGCATTAGAAATCTTCTGAGCTGGTTCCAGATGCTTTTTATTATTATTATAATT